CACCGGGACCGACCACCCAGCAGGGACCCTTCCCTCTGCTCTGGAGGGGTCCATCTTCTCCTCGGCCTCTGGGGAGAGTCCCACCACCATGCCTGACCCCAAATTCCCCAGACCGACCGCCAAAACGCTCTTCAAGGGTCTTGTGGGAATACTGGCCCTTGAACTTCTCGATATCTGCAAGGAGAAGAGGTGGAAGGAGTCTCTGGGGCCCCAGGAGCCTTGACCTGCAATATTCAGCACAACTGGGGGTACAACCTAAAATCCCAGTGCTGGGACCCTGACTTTGGTGGTGGTGACATGGCAGATGATATATATATTGGGTGAGGAGGCAGAGGAATGGTGGGTGAAGCCAGGGCTGAGCCTAGGGGTCCGTTCCTTTGCTTGCTTCAGGACCACTGCGGTACAGAGCTGCCTTTGCCTGAGCTCAGAGGGTTCATGGGAAATGGATCCATTCTTGAAAAAAACCAAGCTACGATATTGCTTTGGTGGAGAGGTGAATGAACGCAGCAAAAGTTTTCAGGAAAGCATTTGAATGGGCTGTGAAACTATTGAAACGTTGTCTGGCTGATGCTGAGCCAGCAGAAAGGGTAGCCGCTGTCTAAGGATTGCAAAAGTTATCTTTTGGCAAGCATTTAAATACGGCTAGAGGAGGGGAGCTGGGAACATGTGCTCCTCTCCAACAACTCTTCTGCAAAACGCAGTGTCACATGGTGATGGGAGCAGCTCATAAACACCTCATTCCCTGCCGCCTTCCTTTCCCTCGGATAAAGACCTTGAGGTCAGAAACCATCTCCCAGGGCCTCGTTTCCCAACGCCACGCACAGGACTTGCACAGCGCCGCTGCTGCATAATGCCAGGAATGTGCATGGAAAAAAAAGCTGGGATTACAAACAGACTTTTTGCAGTAAACGCAGATGGTACCCCCTGCCCTGCCCACCGGGTGGGATTTTGCCGGCATGTCCAACAGCAGGCTGTGGCAGGGATTTATCTGGTGAGAAAGTGGAGAGGCACCTGCAACGGTGTCTTTTTGCAGCTGCTGCTTCAAGACTTAGGTGGACTTTTCTGGAGAAGCATGTGAGCAGCATGGTAACCCTTCTGGGGACTGTGGGTCTACATCACCCACCTCCTGGACTGGCCCCCAGTAACAGCCACATGGTCTCCAGGAATATCCTCAGGTCTGGGCTTTAGCGATGAAACCAGAAACGCAAGCACAAACAGCTGTGATAGAGTTTAAAAGGTCTAAGTCTCATTTTGTGAGGCATAAGGGAGGAATAATCCAACAGCAGTGAATCATCCATCTTGTGCCACGTGTCATTTGTGTCAACAGCCAAGGACAGCAGCCGCAGCCCAACCGTAGCCCCATGGTGCTGGACGCAGCACCATGGTGTTGGAAGGGGATGGTGCTGGCTGAGAATTTGGGCTGTTTTCCCCCAGACCATGCAGGATGGTGCCTTTCCAGCACTCATAGCAAACCTCCAGTTGCTTCCAGACAAAGGCAGGCTGAAGGTTTTGGTTCCAGCCCCTGCAGCAGGGTTCAGGCTGGGTCCCAGGCAGCAGCAGCCCTGGCCAGCCGCCTCCCCGGCTTCCCACCTTACAGCCGGTATTACTCTGCAAATAGCTTCCCCAGCTGGTACACGTGCACCTTGTTAACCCTACCCCTTTTGGATGCTCACTTGGTCCAGCAAAGTCCAGATGTTCTGAGAGCTGGTGGGCTGTTTATTTAAGAGAGGGGGCTTTATTTTTCTAAAAGAGACGCGACTGTTCCTCTCGATATTTTAATCTGGTTTTTTTTTCATTTGGGCATCTTTCCCCACTGGAGACAAATGTGAAGGTTTTTCGTTATTTGTTATGAAAATTGTTTTTCAAAAGGGCCAAATTCAGGCAAATTAATTTTAGCCAGAGCACAAAAGCTCTACACCAAAACTTTTCTCCAAAAACCAGACACATCGACTCTGGTTTTCCACCAGAAAAAAGAGACAGTAGGCAGTGAGATTTAAAGAGATGTAGCAATGCACCATTACTTGAACACAGTTAGAGGAATAAAATAACCAACATTACTTATTGGGGTTGGTATTTTTTTTTTGCCCCAGCTGAGAAACCTCCCAAATTTACCACGCATGGAGATTGCACCCAATTTATTGATACCATTTTTTAGGAATTTCTTGATGAATTATTTTCGTGGCAATAAGCAGGGCAGCAGCACACATTGCCCAGCAGGAAAAAGCATCCCACTCATACACACCGCTCAGCACTCCTGCATCCCTCCCTGTTCTCACCGTGGCCCCCCGGGGTCCCCTAGCAGTACAGGATGGTGAGGAGGAGGAGCAGCGGGAGGAAGAGCATCCCCAGCACGGCCAGGCAGGGGAAGGCGGTAGGGGCATCAGGGCGTGGCCTGCAGCGTCCGGTCCCACTGGGTGAGGATGGCATCTCTGGCCCCGCTCCACTTCCCTGGGCCCGTCAGCCGAAACTGGTAAGGGGTGCAGGGGCCGAAGAAGATCTCCAAGGCCAGGCGCGGGTCCGTCAGCAGCAGCTTCGGCATGTTGGGCTTCACGCCGATGGCCGAGGCCAGCTCGTCCATGTAGGTGATATAATCCATCTGCAGTGTGGTGCTGTTCCCGAAGCTTTGGGGGAGAGAGCAGAAGAAAAGAGGGGTTGCTTTTGTTTTTTCCCCTTTATTTTAAATTTTTTCCTTTAAGCACAGCAAAGGCAGTCCATCCCCTGCTCTCCTCTGCCAAAGCTGGGGAGCTGAGCTGGCGAGGGGGGCCCAGCTCCAGGGGATGTGCATTGTTGCTGCTGTTTGCAGAGAAATCTCTCTCCCAAGAAAATATTGCGTTTCAAAACTGCCTAGGATGTAATGGTTTCTACAAACAAAAGAAAACACTGCTTGGGCCAGGTTCAGCTTTCACTGGCTCTATGCACACTTTTAAAGTATTGCTTCACTGCAGTATCAGATACACTCCCAGAGAGGGGGGGAAATGGGTGCTTCCATGAAGTTTATAAAACAAAAAAGTGCCACTTCAAAGAATAATGATGGAAATGTTCTTTTTCTGCTGGAGCCTCACCCTGATTATGTGTGAATGAAAAAAAAAAAAAGCCTTTTCAGGCTGATAATGCTCAGCAGTGGCAAACAAGCATTTTCAGATAGGAAACCTTCCCATCACACATTTTCCACCCAAAATTGCCTGATTCAGGCCTCTGCCATGCCTGCATCCAGCCTGCGTGGGGCTGAGACAATGGCAGGGCTCTTCTGCCGGCACAGGGAGCCCCATGAGCTGCACTTACCACGCAACCTTCTTCCTCGTCTTCTCATCAATATCATCCATCATCTCGCTGGCTGGGGGGAGCTTGCACTGCCCTGGAAAGAGCAGGAAGAGCATCAGCAAAGGGAAGCGGTGCCCGGGAGACCCTTCCCACAGCAGGTGGGGTCTGCAGGGATCAGCTGAGCCCTTGGGTGCCTCTCTTCCCTTTGGTGTCAAGATCTGGGCTTGGGTCAAGCTTGGGTGTTGAGGATGTGACAACACTGGCTCCCCTGTCCTTTAAGGATGTGATGCCCAAGAGGCTCTTCTCCCCCAGCCAGCCCCATCTCAGGGACCTCATTGCCATCAGCAGTGGGCTGAGAAGTGACTTCCATGGTGCAAGGCACCCCGTCATATGGGGATCCCACTATTGGTACTTCTGGCCAAACCCTGTTGTGTTCCTCAGCACTCAGACACAGTCCTAGTTTTCAGCTTAAACCTGCTGGGAAATGCTACTTCCCATGGACAGAAAATAGACCTGTGCCTGGCACGTGTCCATGCACCTACCCTGAAACACCTTGACTGCCCAGCGGCTCTGGAGGTCTGCTGTTGGGATGATGGGTCCGAGGGACAGGATGAGCCCAATGACTGCCATGGTTGGCTTCTCCAAGTGAGGAGGGAGGATGCCTTTGTAGAGGGTGACCTCATTGTCCCTGTTTTTGATGATGGATTCATCCTCCATGAAAGGATAGGCATGAGTGTAACCAGTGGCAAAGATGACCACATCGACATCATCCTGCACAGTCCCATCCTGGAACAGGACGGACGTCTCTCTGAACTCCTTTACATTTGGCTTTATCACCACCACGCCACAGGCAATGCGGCTCGGGAGTTCGTCGTTGAACACCGGCTCCTTGCGGGAAGCTCTGGAAGGCCAAAGGTGGTGGGGCTGTCACCAAGGTGGTGGGGCTGTCACCGAGGTGGCTTCTGCTGCCGGCCCAGGACAGGCATGGTCCAGCCCCATCCAGAACCAGCACCCCAGGGGGCTTGGGGATGAGTGGACCCATGTGTACCTGTTCAGTGGCATGAGGCCAAAGTTCTCGTGCTTGAAGCGGTTCATGGTCCTCACATAGAGCCAGTCGCTGAGCGCCGTGGGGAGGATGCTCTCCAGCCAGGCCCGGAAACGCGTGACAAGCAGCATGTCCCAGGGGTAGCCTTTTTCCCAGACGCGGCTCATCACCCAGGATCCGCTTCGTGAGCTCAAGTAGACCTGGAGGGACAGCCAGGGAGGGGTAAGCCACCTCGGGGATGGCTGTGAGCCCCTGGGGCTGTGTAACAGAGGCTGTGGCATGTGCTCAAGCAGGTGGGGACCTCTCCTTCCCCGGTGGTTCTGGTGCAGGTCCACATACCTGCGATGCCACGGCGCTGAGCTCCACAGCAATGTCCGAGCCAGAGTTGCCCAAGCCTATCACCAGAACCTTCTTCCCTCTGAACTTCTCTGGCTCCTTGTACTCTCGGCTGTGGAAGTAGTGGCCTTTGAACTTCTGTATTCCTGGAGAGGAGAACAGAAAGGGATGTAATTCACCCCAGGAAAGAAAAGAAGAGGCTATACCAGCCTTGGGCTCTCCCCTTCCCAGTTTTTCCCCAATAATGTGCCTGAACGCAGAAAGGCAAAGGCTGTCACGTAACACACATGACATTTTTATTAGAAACCATGGGAAAATGCCAACAAAACAGTGGTTTACAAAATCCTTTTATGAAAAAATCTTCTGTTAAAGAAAACAGCCTGAAATATTTTTTCTGGGAAAGATTAGTGTTGTCCCTGCTTTGATACAGTTTGGATACTGAGTCTTTTTTCTTAACAAAACAGGTTTTGATTTCCTGAATGGACCCCCATCCCCAAAAATATTGCTCTCCTTTTAATGCTGAAAGGGCATTTTTTTTCAGGGAAAAACACTGTGATAGAAAGTATTTGCCTGGCTATGTCCTAGCGGATGAATTACACACATGCAGCTTACCTGGGAAGTCGGCAATGGGGAGGTTTGGGTAGACGTGATGCCCAGAGCAAACCATAACAGCATCAAAAACCGTCGTCTCTTCCTTCCCATCTCTCTTGGTCACCACCTCCCATTGCCCCGTCACAGAAAAGTCGGGGCGTTTTTTAATCTTGGTGACCAGGGTCTTAAAGAGAAACAAAAGAAAGAGACCGGTGGGTGTCCCTGGAACAGACTGAGAGGTTTAGGGAGTCGGTGGGGTTCAGAGGTCCCAGGGAGCCTCCAGAGTTTTTACCTTGAGCCGTATGTGCTGGAGCAGGTCAAAGTGCTCGGCGTACTTGCGGATGTACTGCTGGAGCCTAGCGTTGTGAATGTAGTTGGGGTGGTTGTCGGGGAAGGGGAAGTCGGGGTAACACATCATCTCTTTGCAGGAGTTGGTGAAGACGGTGCGGTAGATGCTGGCTCTGCCTTCCTCTGCCTGGTCCTGGAGCGAGAGGAGCGTGGACACATCCACATGCAAAATATCACAGGAGACCAGTAACATGGGACCCCCCAGTGCCCAGCTTCCTCCTGGTCTACCTGTGAAAGTTCCAAAATCCCACAGGCATGCCTGGACATCACTCCTTTGCACGTGCGTCGTCCTGGCGATTGCACAAGCGAAGGCAGGAGCCCGGCGGTGTGTGTTGGTTGGCTTTGGCCCAGCGGCTGGCTGCCTGTGCCTTGTGCAACCGCGGGGCAGGTCTGGCCAGGGACATGGATGGAGGCTTATGCCTACAGCCCAGCAACATCTGCACCAGCTGGCCAGTGTCCTGCTGGCATCTAGAAGGGCAGGACATGGGGGATCTGCCAAAATCCTCAAAACTACCGTGCATACAGCAGGACTCAGGCTGGACATGTCCAGTCCCGCCCAGACCAGCCAGCCCCAGTCATTGCCCTGGCCCCAGCGGGCGAGGCAATGTCTGCTCTGATGCTCAGCACTTCACAGCATGAAACACAGGTGATGCATTTCCCTTTCCTGATGGCTTTGATGCCAGGACAGAACTGGGAAAACTGTAGCAAAAAGTTTGTGCACTGGAAAAATTATTTGGGTTGGCCAAATTATGATCAACTTCCAATAGAAGAAAAAAAAAACCCCAAAACCAGACAAGGAGCTGAAGTGCTTTTGACTTTTCCCCTCGATAGTGATAGCCTGTTCTGAAATTCTCCATTTTAACAGCAAAACATATTGCCAAACTTTCTGTAGGAATTCACTGGCGCCGTCCCCAGAACAGACAGCAGCCACGTGATCCATGTTTTGAGATGAATTTAATGCATCAGATCACTTGGAATAAGCATTCTGCCCTCTCCCTCTGCCCCAGGGTTTGTTAAACGGTCTCAATTCCTTTCCCTAACAGGCTCCTGAGCTGCTCCTGCAACCGCGAGGACACCCCAAGCTGTCCCCGCAGCCCCAGCCTGCCAGCAGGCAGGCATGTGGCACAAGGTGGCTCTGGATCTGACCCTCTCACCATTCATTTGGGCTCCTTTTTGGCTCTGGGGTGCATGTCTGCGGTTAGCAGTTCAGAGAGGACTTGGCTCAGCAAGCCAAGGGATGGCCAGGCTGTCCCCAGGACAAGGGAGTGGGACATGGGGACCTGCACTGACCCAGCCAAGCTCTCCCACATGCAGCTGTCAGCAAGTGGGTGCATGCATGCGGGGTGCAGCCGGTGCATCCTCCCAGCCCTGAAGGATGCAGGTTTCCCCCGGCAGCCAAAGCCACTCACCGTGTAGCGCCAGAGCCCCCCGATGTCCTCGCTCTGCTCGAAGCAGGTGGCCTCCAGCCCCTCGTCCAGGCAGCTCTTGGTGGCTGCCAGCCCGCTGGCGCCTGCGCCCACCACCGCCACACGCCGCACCATGCTGTCCTGCCTGCGGGGACACAGCAGTGGAGCGGGGACTGGCCAGGCATGCTCGTCCCGGAGGGTCTGCAGCCCCTGGCAATGATCCCCTGGAGCAGGGCACCTTCTCCCCAGCACAACCGCCCCAGCTCCTTAAATAACCCAGGGGGGGTCTTGCTCATCCTTGCTCACCCGCTTCCCACGCAACCTCCTGAGATGTCCCAAGCGTTTTGGGGAGGGGGAAAGAGCTGGGCGCCAGGGAAAGCCTCAGGGGCTCTCTCACGGAGAGGAGCTGAGGCTCGGGAGGAGCTCCCCTGCAAGAGCAAAGCTCTTTTATGCAGGGCTGCACAGGAGGCAGGGCCAGCGCCGAAGGGTTGTTTTGATGAGTGAGTTGCACTGTTTGGACTTCAGCAACACCAGAGCTGTAACAGGAGGAGGAGCTGAGGGTGCAGAGCTCCTAAATTAGGACATAAAGCATTGGACTGACATCATCGCAAGGTAGAGCCCAGGGTTACTGAGCAGCGGCAGCTACCTCCGTCCCACGGGACCAGCAGCACCTCTCGTATCTGTGTACCCACACCCCCCTCTCTAGAACAGCACGGTGATGTCCGTGTCATTGAGAGCAGCAAGTAGGACCAGGCCGCCCAATCTCACCCCATCACTGCAGGTTTTTCCCTTCCGAGAGAGCAGCTGGCGGGGATGAGCCACCCCAGCATCGGGCAGGTTCCTGTTCAAAGCCTCTGACCACTTTCCCCCTTCTAATAAATGGGGCAAGTGTGCTTCAGAGGATACCTGCAGCAGAAGGACAAAGCACAGGAGGAGCCTGCAAACCCCAGTCCATCTCTGCATTCTTCATCTAAGTCTCATGGTGCAAGTCCATCCATCACATCCCAGCCTCCACACAGGTCCTGGGGGAGAACCGTTTGGCTGGGAACATGCTGGTTTGAAAGCCTCCAGCATTGCTGGAGCCTCTAAAGCTGCCGAGGCTGGGCTGTTAATTCATGCTACACTGGCTTGAAATAAAATAAGAGCAGAGAATGCCAGAAAAATGATTGAACAACCAAACTGAAAAAGAATTTAAATCACTAATTTTCCCACTATTAGCCAGATTTGTTGGGCTTTCAAAGGGAACAGCTTTGGAGTAATGGTTAAGTTGACTTAATACAACTAAACTGCCAAGCTGGCTTTATGGATTCACAGCCTAGATCCTGTCCTGCAGGACACGACCTGGAGGAGGAGGACGATGACTTCTATGAATTAAAACATTTGCCAGAAAATGACACATGGGAGTGATGCACAATGAGAGAGCACGCCTGCTCCTGGCCCTGTCACGGGGATAGGGAAGGTCGACCCAAGGCAGAAGTAAGGGAATAAACGTGCAGGAAGAGTCAATCATTTACCTGAGTGACACAGTGGTCAAGCATCTGAAAGAGGAAGAGGCTTCACTCATCATTTTCCAGCTGCCATTTTTCCCGAAAGGAAAAAAAAGAAAAGAGGAAAAAAAGAAAGGGAAAAAAAAAAAGGAAAAAAGGGGAAAAATAAAGAAAAAAGAAAAAAAAACAAAAAAGGAGGGAAAAAATAAAAACATGGGGGGGAAAAAGGAAAAAAGCTCACAGCATGGCAGTGGGAATCCTTCTGGGGACAACCTGCAGTGACAAGAGTCACAAGAGGCCGATGGCATGGTTTGCCTTGGCGCACGCCGTGCTCTTGGCCCCGTGCAGAGCTTGTGTGGTTGCAGCTCTGTTTGTCCTGGCTGCCATCGGGGCTGCTGCCCCATGAGAGACACATATTCATTAACCCAGCGCCAGTGCGGATGGTGCCAGGGGTCATCACCGGCCACCACCGCTGGTCCCCATGCAGCCGCTCTCAACCCTCCTGCTGTTAGCAGCCGCAAAGCAGAGGGTCTAAAATCTCCCAATTCTGAGCCCTTTGCTGCATGCGAAGGCTCCCTGAGACAGCAGCCGGAGGGATGCTCAGCACAGACCCTGGCTCCCAGGCTGGGCAGTGGTTTGCCCACTTGCCACATGGCTCCTGAGTCAGCCAGACCAGGCTCCGCGGCACTGGATGCAGCGCAACACCCGCAGCACGGGCCAGGTTCTTCCCCAGTGAACATTTCAGTCAAAACAGCCAGGAAGAGGAAGATTGCTCCGCATACCGGCGGGGAACAAAACCCAGCACAGCACCACGATGGCGGCAACCAGCCTGGGGCCAGCTGGGCACCGCGCCAGCCAGCAGTAGCCTTTGGCCTCGCAGAGGGCACATCCCCAGGGACCCCTCTGATCTCTGCCGGAGCACGCTGCCCGGCACAACTGCAGAGCCACAGCTGAGATCCCGGCTCCGTTGGCAGCCAGGGACGAACCCAACTCGCCGGCGGTTCTGGGGAGTGGCGGGGCCCCGCGCCCCATGGGCGCCCATGACTCCCGTGAGGCCAGCCATCGTCCTCTCCTCCCCATCCCTCCAGCTCTGCTCGGCTCTTTGATGTGCAGCTACATTGTTCGAGCATCTTTGAAGTGTGAAATGAGAAACACGCCCGTGCGGGAGGCTAGGCTGAGGCCCGCGGAGCAGCCCGCAGCACTGCGGCTGGTGGGGGGACAATAAATCCGCAGCTGGAGCTGCACACAGCGAGGCAGTGAACAAGAGCCTTCACCTCGCCTTTGCTCTGCCCTTCCCGAGCCGGCGCTTGTTTTTCTTGAACACAGCTAAAGATGTGTTTTTTCATTTGCTTTGCCACATCCTTCTTCTCCATTTTTGTTTGGGAGACGAGTCCTTCCAGGAACAGGCTGCAGGACCGTTCCCATGAGGTTGGGGGCTGATGGATGGAGTGCCCCAGGCGAGGCTAATGCTGCGTGATGGGGGAGCAAATGTGACAGCATCTCTTTGCTCTCCTTAACCTCCTGTCAGCCCTGAAAGCTGGTTTTGCCATTCCCGAGGGAGCTGTTCTGATCTGCAGCCTTTCAGCAGAGGTGGGAGCTCTGAGGGCATCGCTCGCCCTCAGCTTCGCAGCTCACCATAATCACCTTCCCAGACAGGGACAAACCAGCCAAAAAACTCACCATGCCTCCCATGAAAGCTTTCTTAGGTACAGCTGTTGCAACAGCATAATGCATCTCACTCCATCCATCTCAAAACATCTCTAAACCTTTTCCCCCTATGCTACCACCCAGCCTTGGCGCTGGGTGTCATGCAGCCCTCCAGTCCATTTCCATGCCCTCTCTGGGATTTGTCCTTAAGCAGAGCCTCTCTCTGTCCTCTCTCATTTTTTCTCCTGCACTTCCCCTTTTCTCCCCCCTCTTTTTTTTTTTTTTTTTTTCTTTTCTACTATTTTCTGATGGTGCTGTCTGGATGCAGGCATGATCCTTAGAGCATCCAGAACCTGCTGAGAGCATCAGACGAAACCTCACGGGAAGCCACAGCCGCCCCTGATGCAGCACAAGCTGCTGGAAGGTAGCTGGCTCTCCGAATATCACACAGGGTTGTCCTTTTCTTGCACAATCATCTGTCACAAAGGTGCCAAGTGTTTACCCAGCTCTGCCCCAAGCCTTACACAACCCAGCAGGCAGGAACCCAGGAACACAGGGCTGCTGCCACGCTCGCAGTGATTGCTGCAGCTCGCCTGGGACCAGAGATGCTACAGACACGGACAGCCCATGGGATCTGCTCCAAAACGTGGAATCACCCCAGGGCTTACTCTTCACTCAGGAAATCACATCCTCCTGGCTGCTTCTCTCACCCCTGCGCTGCCAGTATTTTGGCAGGCACCTCCCCAGGGAAGAGCTGTCCTCCAGCACAAGTGTGCAAGCTTTGCCTGGAGCCCCGGGTCTTGCCGAGCTCCCAGGCTGGAGGGTTGCAAGGTTTGAGCTGGTTTTCTGTACACTCTCACTGGAGAGGGAACAAACACAGCCTTTGTTCAGCAAACAGGACACCAGCAGCTCAAATCTTAACACAGGAGTGCTCTGTGTGCTTTGTGACCACACCTGTCTGGAACAGGTTTTATGGATTTAGCGATCACATAATTCCTGCGGCAACGCTGCTGAGCTCCAGCTTTTGAGGGCTAAGCTGTTAAAGAGGAATATCAGCTTTCCTTACAATGGAGATTCCTAGCCTTTATGCCTATTGTGAAGAGGGGAAAAAAAAGAAAAAAAGAAAAAAAAATTTGACCTTAAAGAAAAGCCTAAAGTTCATCTCTAGCTCCCTCCTGTGACTCCTGAATGCAGGCTGCTATAAACCTGCCGTATATAAAGCGTTATTTAGTGGTATCCTACTGTCCCTGTGGGAATATTCATAGCTCCCAGTCATATACTGGAATTACCTAACACACATATAAAGCAAAAATGTGTCCAGATCCTTAACCAGGCATGGGCATCGCACACACAATCCAGTTTTTATGATTTCTGTGCCAGGCAACCTGGGACAAACTCTGAACCAACAGGTTCCTGCTACTTTTTCTGTTCAAGGCCTTGCTCTATCACACAAAAGCTCACCTTGCATCCTGGTTTTCATAGCCACACTCACATTCCAGCTGGCTCTGCCCTTTAAGGATGCTAAATCACTGCTGTCCCTGAAGGAGCTGCCCCAGCCAGAACAGCTAACCTACAATTTATTTGCCCTGCAGCAAAATAAACCATAATAAACCATAAATACCAGGGTACAAAGCAAAAGGCTTTGACCAGTGATGGGTGTCTTCAGGACTTCAACACCGCTACAACTTCTGCCCTCTTTTGCTCCACCACTAAGTAGGATCTGGCAGCTTTTGGCTGGAGAGGATTCGTGGCTGTCGTCCCTCCCGACGTGCCTCCATGTGCTCATGAGCCACTGTCAGCTGGAGGAAAAGCTCTCTGCATGGCAAAGCATTGCTGCAGCTGTTCCCCCACAGCTCGCTGTCCCTAGAGCTCCCCTATACCCAGATGGATGGGCGATTCTGTTAGCTCAGCCCATCCCAAGCCCCGGGTCAGTGGGACCGATTTCCTTCCCTGCCAGTGCCCTTTCCCATTGTCTTCTTGCCGTTGCTCTGCTGGTTGTGTAAA